GACTCCATTTAAGCTCACGCCTACTGCTTCAGTGACTCCATCCAGCCACCTCATTCTCTGTTGTCCCTTTCTTCTTTTACCCTCAGTCTTTCCCAGCATTAGGATCTTCTCCAGTGAGTCTTAAACCTACCTTAAACAGCCCACCTGGGACAATGGACATAGTCAAGCTTCACAGCCTATTTCAATCATACTGGATTCTTTTAAGTGGTGAACAATAAAGCTGCTGGCTGGATGAGCTGTGTATGTATTCCAAAAAAGTGTCTTTTACAGCTTTCAGGTCAGCAGAACTGGAATCTCTCTTAAACTATCTAACTATTAACCTCAAAAATTCTCTGGGCTGCAGGCTGAAGCTGGTATATGTTGCAGCAGTAAATCCTACCACCACTTCAAAAAATCCAGTCATCAGTTAGGTTTTTGAATAGAGGTAAACCACAAACACTTTCCATAAGAAAAAAAATAAACGTAGAACAATTCTAAATCAAGCAATGTTTTTCCTTAGCTGTCCCCCGGCCGGAATAGATCACTAATGGTGAAGAAAGCACATTCTTCAACTAATGGACCGCTACTGAGGGGCTTTAATGGAAACTGTAAATTGCCCTTCTTAATTTGGCATGACCACCTTGCAGAACTGCAGTATATACTTGAAACACAAAACAAAACAAAATCCAAGTTTTCTAATAATCAAAATCAGGTGCAAGGCAGACGCAAATAGTGGAAGAAAAAGTGAAGCAAATTACTTTTTACTTAACAATAAGAGATATTTAGCTTTACTAATGAGATCTGAAATATATAAAGCTATCTCCAAGTTAATGAAGATGTCAACCTAGTATGCAGCGGCTATGAAAAAAGGCAAATTCCATGCTATATATCTTTAGGAAGGGATTGAAAATAAAACTGTCTGTAATTATAGTGCCCTTAAAGAAATCTATAGTATGTCCACATCTGAAATACTATATTTTGTTCTAGTTGCCAGATTTAATGGAGGATATATATATAATACAGCTGGAAAAAAGTAAAAAAGAGGCAACCAAAATGATTGTAGGGTTTGAACACCTACTGTATTGAGAAAAGGCTAGAACGCCATGATGTACCTATGTTCATTTCTGTAACCTTATGAGAAAAATGGGCCTACTCAAATATAACTGAAGGAGCTGCCAAAGTTCCAAAACCTAGTGACTTAAAACAATTTTAGGAAAATATTCTTTTCAAACTAACTTTCTATATCCGTGATGCCGAATCTATGGCACACTTGCCAGTGGTGGCATGCAGTGCCCTTTCTGTGGGCGTGCAAGCCATCGCCCCAGCTCAGCTCCACCGGACATGTGCGCGCGTGCCTCCCACCAGCCAGCTGGTCCTTCGTGTCTCTTCTGTGCATGCGGGGCGCACACAGGGCGCTGTGCGGGCATGCAAGGGGGACGCATGTGCATTACATTTTGGGGGTTCAGGCAGGCAAGTCCTATGAATTGTGTACATTATATTTTTCTCCCACCTTCCTCAAATGGAAACAAACAAGCTATCCCCGCCCACCCTTTTATTTACACAATAAATTTGTGAGTTAAGTTCAACTATAAGCTGGTAACCAGCCTAAGATTGCCCAGTCAGCTTTGTGGTTTGTGGCTGAGTGGAAATCTGAACCCAATTTCCCTGATCTCAGTCCAACAGTCCGGTAATTAAATTCACGCTGGCTCTCAAATGTAAAATACAGCCTAAACACAGGAAAACAGACAAAGCTGCAGAAAGATAGACACCGGAGCCTCTTAGTCTAGAAAACTATTTTTGTACTACATTAGATGATAGTCAGCCTTGACAAGTAAGGAGTTCCAATGGCAATATAGGTGGGCGGACACGCTGCTGCTGAGCACTCACTAGGCCAAACAAAGGAAGAAACGGGCAGCCAGAAAAAATCAAATAGGAGACTGGGGGAACTGCTCCCCTGGAGTTACAGCTGAATATTGGTTAGTACCAATATTGGTTAGTAAACTGAATATTGGTTAGTACCACAGTGCAGTTCTGATAAACTGAATATTGGTTAGTACCACAGTGCAGTTCTGATAATGTTGGGGGTCTATCTAAATTATTCAGGCTCAAAACCCAGCTTAATAATAATGCTCTCTGGATTGCTCAGAGTAAGTCTACTTCTTAGCTTCACCTACCTCACAAAGTTGTTGTTTAGAATAAGAAGAGGGCACAAATTAAGGTTAACATACAATATATAGCATCTATGAGACTGAGCTGTGAAATAAAAGCTCTGGTGCCAATCCTGTGTTTCACAAGCCTCACAAAGGGTGACTCAGGCTTTACTGCTGCGGTTTTCAGGAAGGAGCACAATATGGATTTCTACCTCAAAGACAATTTGTTTTATCCAAGGGGCTTTGCAACATAACAACTCGTTGTCTATGGAGATTTTCAATCATCCAGGTTATGGTTGTCCCAAAGGTGCTTTTCAAAAGGCAATGAACTTTTTTTTTTCTTGAAAATGTTTCACTTCTCATCGAAGGATGAGAAGTGAAGTCTTTTCAAGGAAAAAAAACGAAGAAAGACCGGTTGCCTTTTGAAATGGGATAACAACTCCTTCAACACATTTTCTCCACGTCATGGCAAAAGGCAGAACAATAATAAAGCTAATGCTGAAGTGCTTGGCAGTTCTCTTTTATAAGGTGTTCCAGAGATAAAGCATAAATGCATTATAGACAGCAAGTATCTTCTCAAAATGAATAATTAGTAGGGCTAAGATATAAGTAATGTTAGTCATCTAATGAATCGACTGATTTATTCATTAAATTTTTAAATGGGTGGGTTTAAAAAGCACTAACCGTACCGATCCAATTTTACAACCTTTTTTGCAGCAGTCATTAAGCAAACACTGCAGTCTTAAATGAACCCCTTGTTCGCTATGAGATGTTTCTGCAAAAAATGGGAAGTAAGTGTCTGCTTTCAGGAAAAACGTAAATCACAATCATGTGATCTGCAAAGAGGTGTTAAATGTGGGCCAGTCGCTGAGCACCCAAAATGCAATCAGGATGGGCAATTTCAAAAATGGATCGTAAGTTGGGGGGATCCACAGTGGTGAAATTCAATTTTTTTTACTACCAGTTCTGTGGGCGTGGCTTGATGGGCGTGGTGCGGCTTGGTGGGCGTAGCAGGGGAAGGACACTGCAAAATCCCCATTCCTTCCCCACTCCTGAGAGAAGGATACTGCAAAATCTCCATTCCCACCCCAGTCTGGGGCCAGCCAGAGGTGGTATTTGCCGGTTCTCCAAACTACTCAAAATTTCCGCTACCAGTTCTCCAGAACCTGTCAGAACCTACTGGATTTCACCCCTGGGGATCCACCATAACTTCTAATGATTGCTAAGCTTCCTGTCGTAAATCAAATGTTACTGTGTTTTCTTTTCTTTATAACAATGCACAGTAGTCACAATCTTAGAAGAGACTTCTTTCTAACCTAAAGGGAGGAAGAATGATGTTTCTATAATGGGCTTGCCATTTTTTTAACTTAAAAATTAAATAATATATATTAAACATAGTGGTGTGGTGGTGGTGCAGTGATTAGAATGCAGTACTGCAGGCTAATTCTGCTGACTGCCAGGAGTTTGATTCTGACCAGCTCAAGGTTGAGTCAGCCTTCCATCCTTCCAAGGTCAGTAAAATAAGGACCCAGATTGTTGGGGGAAACAGGCTGATTCTGTAAACTACTTAGAGAGGGCTGTAAAGCACTGTGAAGTGGTATATAAGTCCAAGTGCTATTGCTATTGCTATTTTTTCAACTACTATGTAATTATCCTTTAGATTATTAATGTATCTATTAGATACCACAGGTCTCATTAATAATTATAGATGTAGTAAAATAAATTAATGTGTTACTATTTTGTTTTTTGTTAAATACTTCATTAATAAGAATAAGTAGTTTAAAAACAGTTGATTAATTTCAGTGTTTTGCTGCCAAAGTGCTGTATGCTAGAATTTATTTAATACAATTTGCTGAAAATAAATTTGAAACTCCAGCAAAGAAATATGAAATGACAAGAACCCAAATAGGCCATGACATGCTTAGTTCTTACCACACACTTTAATCTGACATCAAAAGCAGTTCTAATACTACCTACTGATAATATAGTTAATTCTTTAACCAACTCAGTTATCTTATTTTTATTACATTGGACATTATACTGCTGTTTAACACTAGTGTTCTAAGTGGCAAGATGAGCAAAGTTGACTAATTGAATTTTATTTATTTACACAATTAATATTCCACATTTCAGTTTAATGTCCATGACTGTGTATAACATTTCTACTTCAGGATCAGCTCTGTACTCCTTACTTAGATTTAAAAAACTCTTTCAACTATGTACTGTATCTTTAAATGTTCGATATAAACTCTTGAAACTTATAGGAGAATGCATTGTATCTTAAGCTGTAGGTTTTCCTCACAAAAGTTTCATGAAACTTGCACCAGGATACATGCCCACAGCAACATTTAGAAAAAAGTTGTATGGGAACTATCAATTATATCAGCTAGACCTCATATTTATAGTTAAAAAGATGCTCAGGCAAAAGATTTTCCCCTGATAGAAAAAAATCCAACACTGAAAGTAAAATCTAACTTCTCTCACAATGAAAAGCCAGCCCTAATATTTTTATTGGCCCACAGCTCTTAGGCAAATCAAGATCCAAAGCTTTATATGTATATTTTTTAAAACTATCCGCAATTGAAAATGAGCAGCTATTTCTCCTCAACTCTCTATAGCAACCTTAAAACATTAATTCAATCTGGCAGAATTCTCAACTGATACATAAAATACTACAAAACCAAAGAAAAGTGTGGAACAAACAAAAATCACATTTGGCCGCCCAAACAAAACATTGGTTTGGACAGGATGTTGTCTATTTTGTTACCGTCTATTTTGCTTTTAAAAAAACACTCTGCTTTGAAAAACAAATAAGGTGGTAAGGTTCCCAGTAGGGTGCAATCTTAAGTCAATTTAAACAAACAAACTTACCCTAATTTTCCCAGCAAATCCACCTCTGGAACCAATGGCCCATATGTCTCTACATGCAGTGGCTTATAGTCATAGAGTACTTCTTCAATCTTTTGAACAGGCACTAAGGAAATATGCTGACCCTGTTGAAAACATATACGGAGATATCTAAGTTGTGGTTTAGTTTAAGTGATTCATAACAAGAAGCTGTTATTCTTACGAAAGCTGAATTAAAACCTTAATATTGAACATTCACTTGCTATTATACAATCCATTTTCTGCTTCTAACATGAAATTGTTTCCAAACATTTTAAGATTAGAAAAATAATGGTTTGTTAGCTATAATTCTTAAGGAGGGAGGTGTGGAAAATAAAATTAGTTAATACCAGATTTACATTAACTAAATGCAGCTCTGTTGCAGATGAATTTATTAGATAAAAAGTTTCATTTCTCATAAGCAATACCAAATAAAATAATCAGAACTCATCTGCATTTGCTTCAAATGAGCAGCAAATAAATTTAACAAATACATAAATAAGTAAACATAGTAAAACAAAACCATTACAGTTGATCATCAATTATTTCTTGAAAGCTCTAAATGAGAAGTGGAAACTACTTTTGCATTATCCTGGTATCTTCTGTATCTACCTACCTACCTACCTACCTACCTACCTAATTCTCTAAACTACCACAAGTAATGGCTGCAAAAATTGATGTTTGCTGTAAAAATTGAAATTAAAAATTGAAATTGATTAAAATTGAATTAATTAATTAAAATTGAAAAATTGAAATTAATTCAACAAATTCCTACAAATCTTTTTTAAAAATTGCATTTCTCAAATTAGCTTTCAGACAAAAGAGTGTCTTTAAAATTCTTCAGGGTCTGAGGTTAAAGCAAGTACCACAACAGTATCAAAATTTGAGAGAATCCAGAGTCCACTGGAGTTGGGCAGCTATAATGAATTTAAAGAAATAAATAAAATCTGTTACAGTCTATACATTTTTCCCATTGCTGTTCAGCCATATTAACAGAAATAGAAGCTTCGATATACCATAACTGTACAAAAATCAAGTTTATGTTTATCAAAGTTCAGAATAATTACACAAACCTACAGGCATATCTCTCTCCCCCCAAAAGTCCTGCTGTGGTGCCTCATTGTGGCAAAAAGGTTAATGTTTAAGATTTGTAGGGTTGCCCACCTTCGAAAAGAACTCTGGGCAGCTTACAAGAATAAAACCAATAAAATAAACAAAACCATAAAACCAAAATCTGGCAACTCAGCCATCCTCCTTGTATGCCTCCAACAAAACCAGGGGTGAAATGCTACCGGTTCGGGGTGGTTCGCCCGAACCAGTACTGAAAATGCTACTGGTTCACCTGAACCGGTAGTAAAAAAATGCTTTAAAAAGTAAAAAAAAAAAAAAAAAAAAGTTCCCACGATCATGTGGCACAGCTAATCCTCGGAACCTTTTTTTTAAAAATTTTTTTTTCATTTTTTTACTACCTATTGAAAAATGGCCATAAGTCCCTTTTTTCATGTTGTTGTCACTTCAAACAGCCACTAAGTGAACTGTTGTAAGTTCAGGACTACTTGTATGTGCTTGCTCAGTCTGCTATCCAAGTACCAACAGCAGATAAGAAAGAGACCAGGGCCCTTGCTTATGCTTCTACCTACTTAAACTGGATTGAGTAATGTTACTAAAAGAGTAACATTTCTCAATCAATGGTATATTCATGCCATCCCCTGGCATGAATATACACACAGCAGAATATAATCAATTAAAGCTTCAAGAGAGCAATGCAGTACCCCAGACTGACTTGGCAAACTCACAAGGGTGCCATGTGATTTTATTTATTTATTTTTTTAGACATTCATTTATGATATCTTATTTTTCCAGAGCTGGGTTTTCAACAGTCTTTCTTGCCTTGGGAATACTGTGAAAAAAAATTACTGTTACACTAATGCCATATAATCTTTGCAACCAAATGATACTTTCCTTTCACTTTCTGTAACTGATCATAATAATCAAGCTGTTGAGTTCCTTTTAAATCAAAGTTAAATCTCTTTCAGATTGAAAAACACTAAATAAATAAAACTACTGAAGTGGTTTTGGATATCTGGTCTCCTTTTCGAGAGTGTTCAATTGTGCAGGTCATCAAGGAATACTTTTCTTCCATTTTGTTGAATGTTAAATTAAAACAACAAACAGTAAAATAAGTGTTGAGATTTTAAAAAATCACAACTTTTTACAGAGTAAAATAATGGACTATCTAATTCTGTTAGTTATGGAATATATATGGTGAAAACAAAGCTAGATACTAGCAGTTAATAACATTTTTGGAATACAATGATAAAAATGATGAATTACTTGTATATAAATGTATATTTTATCCACACCAATATGTGTCCATTATTTTCCTCATAATGGCTTGGACCCAAATATTTCTAGTGAAATTGAAAGGAAATTCCTGATTGATAAAAAGCCCCTATAAATTATTCTGTGTTTTTGTCCTGCTGTGCCTCTCCCCCTCCATATTCTATCACTTGTAATCTCCTTGATGACATTTTGGAAAATATCAAGAGGCCAAGATGGATGAATAAATTTGTGCTAATCTATTTCTGGTTCTAAGCTTACATGTTATTAATTATGCAGTTTGGTTGTTCCCTGTGTCTTTCTAAACTCATAATATGATCCCAATCAAATTCTACAATTCAGTGTACTTATACATATATGGAATATTAATTGTGGGAGGGACCATAGTTGAGTAATAGACCACAGTCTTTCCCCACATAATTTCATTTTACTGTATCTCCAGAATTAGGGAGGAAAGCAAGGGTGGGAGATCAGGATGCAGCCAGTGAGAATACTTGGCTAGAACATTGGGAAGTCAAGGTATAAAAAGATATTTTTATTTTATTTTATGCTTAATCCTATTTTAGGTGTACATAGTTGGATACTCCAGATGAAACTATTCATAAAACAAACATTTATCAATAGGGTTAAAATTCTATTCCAAACACTTATTTTCTGCTGTATGTATTCAGTTCTCTCTTGTGCTATATTAGAACAAATAGTTTTTTTATTTCAATTTGTGCTGGTACTGTATTCTTCGCTATAAAATCTGGGCACATTTAATCTACATATAACACAGAGCATGTTCAGTAAATTTTAAAAATAAGCACAATACTCTGAAGTAATTAGCAGAGAGATCTGTTTAAAGACTAACATCACTCTGAAGCCTTTTTGGAAATAGCTCCCCAAACAGAAGCACTCACTTTCCACCTGTTGCTGTCACATATGTTCATGCCACTCAGGCACATTTGCTAGTGCACATTCCTGTGTTTACTAATTAATCTCTCCATTGCTTTTTCCCAATGGCTATCTGCCATTTTTCATTTAAAGGGATAAAGGAAGGTAACAGTTTCAATTGAATTTTCCTTGTATTTTTCTTAAGAGAAATCAATGCCTATAAAATATTGATATTCATTGTAAGCCACCTTAAAATTGAGAAGCCAAGATATGGAGTACATTTTTTTCTTTATATATGAATCTGTTTCAATAAATTCTGCATAAATCTCATGACTTTTATTGTATTGATAATTTTATAATAAGCCTCTTATCATGCCATTCATTAAAATCATCACATTACTAAAATAAGCCCCCCAATGCTTTAGAAAGTAATAAATTAGCCAATGTCATAAGAATTATAAATTTGCTGCACATTTTTAAAAAAATAATATTTAAATCTCCAGGGAGTCAAATTTACATATTAACAAAATAGGTTAACTGTTGCATGGCTGACTTCTCTGATCTTACCTCCGTTCTGCCACTTTCTCTGTTGGGATATGGAGGCCATGGGGAGGGGGTCACCTATCAGATATCGCTAGACTAATCACACTCAATGTAGGGATTAATTGCCAAGAATATGCCACTCAGTGCTAAAACCCACACAGGAGATGGGCTCCATTACAAGCAAAATGTTTAGAGGCATGTCTCAGTGATAAGAACTTGGGAAAGTTTTTATCAACTTTCGTCTTACCTCATGAAAGTGCTCAGGACTTGGATCATTTGAGTTACCAATAATACTCTGACTGAAGAAATTAAGTGAAAGAAGGTTTTAGATTTCTAGGGGTGGTTTGCTGAAGAATGGATTGCATTTGACCCATTTCAAGTGAGATTACAAGTCACGTTTAAGTACTCTCCCTCCCCATCACCATAAAGCTGCTCTCATTTGGTAATGCAAACTAGCTCCTTGACCTTCACAACAACCTCTGAGAAAACAGTTGTACATTCTACTGTGGTGTAAATCCTTGCAGACAAGTCGAACCTGTTCTTTCTGGCATCTTGCCCTTCAGACGAGTATTCCCTCTAGATTTACTGTATTGTGAAAGACCAATGAAGAGGCATTTACTGCACTATGTTTATCTTCCCTGCACAAATCTAGTTTAACCCTATTTTGCTTGTAAAACATAGTTTAACTAATCAGATATTGAAATCAAACATTCTAATAAAATGACAATTTTTTAAAATGTTTGCCAAAGAAGAACCAAATTTAATGTTTAAAAACTAAATTTCTTTATTATAGATGTAAGTAGGTAGAAATAATAACAGTATAATGACTTTTTCAATTAATTCCAGTGGGGATGTTACCTATTTTATGCTGAATAAACAATAATTTATTCAATATTGAGTAATTAATCTTTTTACCTTAACTGCCAGATTCAATGTACATGCATTGTTCACTGAAAGCTTCTATTCTAGTGATTTTCCCAAATGTTTGTACAAATATAATATTTCATTTTCTTCCACTCATTCTTCACTATTCCTTTAAGGCAGAATCCTCACATACAGGTTAAACCTGGGGTTTAACGTATAATATAATATAATTTTATTACAAGACCGAGAGTAATAACCAGTATTTATGAAGTCTGTAGATTAAAAGGAACCATGTAATTATTATACACCATTTGGAAATCCCAACATTAACATGGTTAATCTTTTAGAATTTTCAATAGTGCTGATATTTTTTTAAAAAAATCAATAATTTATTAAACAAATTTTGTTCTTTTGAACTATGTTAGTAGTTGCTCAAAAGAACACACTTTTCATCTGTCATTTTGGACACAATGATTATGGTGCT